TAACTTCACAAAATTTAAAAAAGTTTTAAAAAGTTTATTTTATCCTCGTTGTCAATTTCACTATTACTCCAAAGATTGATGAGTTTAAAAGAAGACATAAAAATTTAACAACTCTAGTAGAGAAATTCATTTATTAATAAAAAGAAATAGTTGAGCACAAATCTAAAAACCACAATCACATCAGTGTTCCATAAATTGGAATTATAACAATTGTATATTAAATTACATAAAATAGTGATTCAAATTCCAAAATATTAAATGAGAAATAAGGAAGCTGGAGCTTCAAAATATTTTTGTGGGATGCTTGAATCCCGGAGTTGGAACAAATGTCATGCACTCGGCCAACTTGTTTGTTGTTGAACTTGCTCCCTTAATGGTCCCAGTGGATATTGCATTGGCTGAAGCTGGAATTTGAGGGCTAAAGGATGCTCTTTTTGATTTTTTTTCCCTCTAACGACGGGCAGCTTAATAAGCCTCACTGCAACGTTCTTCTACACAATAGAAATGTATTTAGCTACATTGTTTTTATGAATGAAAAATATTATGGAATAATAATTTAAAGATGGTTTAATACCTAGATATCAGAACATTCTAGTAGCTGATTGAGATCTATGATCTCAGATGCAACAGATAGGAATGGTAGAGCAGTAGCTGATTGAGATCTATTGAAAACTTGTATTATAATGATGACGGCAGTAATGCATGCTTTTCTTTGGGTGTGCAGATATTTGTTATTGCAGGAGGCGTATGGGGTATGGCAGTGTTTTTCAGGGGACCTCGAACAAACTCACATGGGTGCCTCATTTCCTTTTATCCTCCCTGTTTTCTGTTTTATTAGTGATGTTTACAATGGTGCGAACTTGATGTGTCTTGTGTGCTTTGTATTATTAATTTTCTTTGTCTTGGTGGAGGGACACATAATAAATACATTTGTTTGGATTGTCATGTAATCGAATTGATTTGGTTTCCAATCCCTAATTTTGGATGAATGCCGAATGTAACTGTTATTAGAATTTGAATCCAACTGTTCCAAAGTGGCAGTGAGCCTTTAGACGCACTGCAAATGTTGTGGCTGGTATAGGGTTTTGTGGTGAGTAATCTAGTCAGATTTTTAGATGAAGTT